ACCAAGAGCAGCCAGAAACTGGAGAAAAGCTTGAAAGGAGTAACATTTGCAAGTTTGTAGCTGAGGACTGCTTCAGTATGGATGTCAGCTTTCAGTGTGTTTGCTGTCATATCCTTAGAGGTGCAAGGGGCTGACAGAGAATTTAAATATGTTTCCGGCTTTTCCGCAGAGCGCACTCCACTTTGACATTGACCCCTATGGTCTCCGGTCACGTAGATAGCAGTCTGGTGGGTGGTGTTTGGAGAAGAGTGTGGACAGTGAGATCTGGGATGGGGAGCCTCACCTCTGGGGGGTAGGGAGACCAAGGACAGACTTGAAGACCCTGTCCGGACTTGACCCAGATTATCTGTAGAACCACACAGGTACTCAGTGGCTCCCCAACCAACTGGCCAGGGGCTCTGAGAGGGGGCCCGAGGCATCAGGACTATGGCAAGCTTCCCAGGAAACGCTGGAAGGTGAGCACCCCTGGGCCAAAGTCAGTGAAAAAGCGTTCCCACAGTGCCCCTCCACTGCAGAACCAACCCGGGGCAGTTGTCCAGAGACAGAAAAGAGACTGATGCAGGCAAAGCACCTGTCTGGCTTTGTGATTATCCTTCTTCTTCCTATTTTGCACACCAGGCAGATGTGGCTGGAGGGTGGCAAAGCCAAGGCCAGAGAAAATTTACGTGGGACAGTTTCTTACTGTCCACTCATCATCTACCTACCAGTGGTGGGTGTTTACCTTGAACCCAGTCCTGTCCGTAGCCGTGGTCCCCACAGGTTAGAAGAAGCTGGGCAGGAAGCTGATCTCATGGCAGAGGGCTGAGAGAGGAAAGGGAGTCCCAGCCAGCCAGGAGCTGTCCACCCATGTCAGACAATGCCACTCTGTGACCCTGGTATAGTGAGACAGAGACCAAAACCAGCTCAAAAACTTGTCTAGCCACAGAAATTAAGGTCCCCGTTCAAAGCACAAAAATACCAAAGAGCCCTACTCTCCTGGCTAATATAAATGACAGTCACAGATTTGTCCATCACAGCCCCACCCTCCCCCTGCTCTGTCCCCCTTTTAGAGAAGAAGATATGCCACCAAAAATCGGTCCTGCTTCCTAATAGTATCCAGTAAAAAGGACAACCCCACTTCCTTGAACTTCCCCAAGCACCTAAGGCAAGTACAAATTCTGCCCTGAGTCTTTCCTGACCCTTCCTGGAGGAGAGTCCTACGGTTCCCCATGGCGTACCCTCTGAATTCTTGTAACCAGTCAGTAAATCTCCCTGAAGTCTTTCGCTGGTGGGCTTTGACAGGATAATACCGTGGGGCCCTGGGGCTGGTTCGAAGGTGGCACAAAGAGAAGGAAAGCCCATTTCCTTAAAACCTCTGGCAAAAGTGGCCTTTGAACTGGGTCTGGAAGAATAACTAGAGACCTGCTAGCCAAACTGAGAGGGAAAGGCCTTCCAGGTGGAACAGCATCTGCGTAGTCACAGAGCATGAGAAAGCTGTACCCATTCTGGGAGTCTGTTTGGATTCATTTGCTGGGTATGGGGGCTGGGCAAGGCTGTTTTATCCTAACTCCATCCTGAAGGGAAGGGGACCACTGAAGGGTTTTAGGGAGAGGGACTTAATCAGACTTGTGTTTCAGAAAGTTGCTCTGGTAGGGAGGGTATATGGGCTGGAGAGCCCGAGACAATGGGGACAATGGGGACTTTGTTGCTAAACATATAGTAGATGCTCATGTGGGATCTGCTGATTGAGGATGGAAGTCACCAGGAGGGAGGAGGAGAATCAGGTCAGGTCAGAAGGGGACATCGGTCCTGGGGACAGATGGCAGAGGGTGGCCTCATGGGAGGAGACTGGTGATGTGGTCAGGGCTCCATCCAAGGAAGGGGTGAAAAGCATGGGTGGTTGCTGGGGGGGCGGCTTTCCCTCCCACCCCACTTGCCATTCTGCCCCTCCAAAGAGCCAGGAAGACAGTAGGTACTTAATCAGTGCGCATTCAACAGTGCAGGGCATTTCAGGGACAGACAGATGTAGGTCTGTGCATGCTTGAGCACAGCCCCTCACCTGCAAATTAGGAAGGGCACTCCTACCTTGTAGAATTACAGAGGGCACTAGAGGGGTAATGACAGTGATGACACTGGGCCCGGGCTGCCTTTGTTCCTTCAGTAATCCTGCAAGGAAGGTGCTGTTATTTCTACTTTACAAGTGGGGAAAATGAGCCTCGAGTGGGAAGCACCTGGGTTCAGGGCACACAGCTAGCTGGTGGCAGAAGCAGGTGATGGATCCTGGGAAGGCCACCTTCAGAGTTCCCAGCCGCGGCTGGCCTGGCCAAGGGGGTGGCATGGGGTGGCCTTCTGGGTCGGGGGTCAGAGAAGGAGCCCCAGAGTCCTAGGAAAGATGGGGTGGGTTTTGGCCACCTGGTTGTGGGGCCGATCTCTTAGGTGACTGTGAGCTGTCACTGTGGGAGGGGCTGCAGTTTGCATCTGGAGACAAGGGGACAGGCACCCCCTCCCAGGAGTGGTGATGGACAGGCCCGGTGACAAGGCTGGGGGAGTCCGAACCCACACAGTGAGCAGGAGGTGGGCTTGCACCAAAGAGACGGCTGGCCACAGTGAAGTAGGCACAGGTGAACTTCTGCCATGGGGGGAAAGGACAGAGCCGGGGGGGTGAGGCAGCGGGGATCCCAGAGGGTTCCAGGGTCAGGAGCCCAAGGCCTGTCCGGTGGCTGCTGCCACCCCTGGCACCCACCCCGTCTCCTTCATGCACAGTCTAACCCTGACTCCCCCGTGGGAGTCAGGCCCTCAGTTGCCATAACAACTGGATCCCAGCAGTAAAAATAGTAACATTTCTTATTCAACTTTTTTTTTTTTTTTGCTCTTTGAGAAAAAGAAAATCCAGTTCGAGGTTTGTGTTTCCCTTCAGGGGTCTCCTCTGGGGCCCCACTGAGCCCACTGCCAAGATCTGGGAAAGGTCGACCGCAGGCTGGGGCCGGGAGGAGGCCAGCGGGCCAGCAGCCTGAGGAGCTCTGGTCCCACACCTGTGGCTTCCCTCAGCCTCTGGATGGCTGCGCTCAATGACGATCGATGCCCCGGGCCTGCCCTGGACTCCCCGGGGAAGAGGGGGCCACAGGGAGGTCAGTCCCCTGGGGGCTTTCACTTCTATAAAGTCAGCAGGGACCTTTTTGGAATTGAAGTTGAGGGCAGAAGAGGAGGTATGCCTGGCACCTGGGGACAGGTGTGTCCCAGTGGGGCTGACAATAAGGCCTGGGTGGGGGGGTCACAACAATGGTGAAGGAGGTTAAGGTCAGGGAAGAAGCCATGAAATGCAGGTTCAGAGCTCAGATCCTGGGCAGGTCCTCTGGCTGTGTGACCTTGGCAGGGTCCCTCTTAGCCTCTTTCCCTCCTCCATTGAGAGGACAGGAGGTGTTGGTCACTGTACCCATGAGCCTCTCCCAAAATGTAAAGAGACAACTGAAACAAGTTTCCTGAACGTGACTTATTCTCTCCTGGCACCGTGTACTCTGGACGGAATGTCTTTTCTGTTTCATTTCCGACAGCTGCTTGTCTGACTCCCTGATCTTCTAGAACCACGCTGCCCCCTAAGGACTTTCTGTGGTGTTGGGAATGGTCCAACACGCCAGCCACTGATCACATATAGCTGCTGAGTGAGTACTTGAAATGTGGCTTGTGTGACCCAAGAGCTGCATTTCAAATTGCATTTCATTTTGTTTAACGTAGAAATAACCAGACACAGGAGGCTGGTGGCTTTCATGTTGGAGGTCTCCGCTCTGGGAAGTCCAGGTGAAAGTTCAAAACTTGCAGCTCGCTCTGAGGAAACTTCCAGCTCACCTGGAACCTTGACCTCAAGTCCACCTGGACAAAACCCAAATCACATCTTCCCTCAACTCCCTGCTGCTCCTCCCTTGGTCTCCTCCCCCTCTCTCCACACCCCCAAATGTCATCAGTACTCACCCAGCAGGGCCAGCCAGAAGCCCAGGGGTCACCCTTCACTTCTAATCCATTTGACCTCCTAAACATCCCCAGACCCCTTTTCTGGTCCCTATCTCCAGCCTTCCCTCTCCCCGCAGCCTGTGAATGCCTGTACCTGCAATATTTCTTGTCCACACTAATCCTGCGTGTCTCTGTGCCCAGCATTTGGGAGTGCAGAAATGAATTCCATAGGGTCGCTTTGCCCTGGGTGGGGTTATTTCCTGAATGTGTACTAGGATCTCAAAGAAAGCCTTGTTATTTAAAATCGCAGGGAGCTGGGGTTTGGGAACCCGAAGGGAAGAGAGAGGAGGGGGGGAAGGAGGTGACTGCCTTTCAGTTTAGACACCTGTCCTTCCGTGGTGAAGGCTCTTCTGCTTCCCTCAGTCCCCAAAAGTGTCATCCGCTCCTGTTGGTGGTTTCCCACAGCCTATAACCCGAACCAAGGTCTCCTAAAGGAGAGAGCTGGATTTCGTAGAAGATGGGGGGTGGGTGAGTGGGCAGATCGTGGGTACGCTGCGATCCGACATTAAAATGCGCGTGCCCCTGTCTGGGGGTCGTGAGGGTCCCTAGAGTCACAGTCTCTGGGAGTGGAGAGGTTCCGCCAGAGACCGCGGCCATTCCCGGGCGGATCCCCTGGGCCGTCCCGCCTCGCAGGCGCTCGGAAGCAGCAGGCGCTGGCCTTGGGGGAAGCGCGAGCTACAAGTGCACTTCCCCGGCCGGCCACGCCGGGGGCCTGAACGCCTGGCGCGCCAGCGGTGTCCGCTCCCTTTCCAGCCCAGTCCCGGCCGAGGACAGCGGGGCTCCGTCTAGCAGGCCGTGACCTCGCGACCGGGGGAGGGCACACCGGGAGAGGGAGGGAAGGGGCTCCAAGGGGAAGCCCCCATCCCTCCCTATCGCCCCTCCTCCTCCCCCAGCCAGCCAGGGCAGGAGGGGTCTGCCGGGCACCGGGAGGGGGCCGCGGCCGAGGGGACTAAGGCGATTGGCCCGGAGCCCCCCCCACCCCGCCGGCTCCACCCCCGCCCCATCTGCTAGGGATTTGGCGTCGGCGTCTCGGGCTCCGGCTCGGCTCGGCTCCAGCTCGGGCTCAGCGCGCCCCCCGGCCGGCCCTCGCCCAGCGCCCGCCTACCTGCTGCTCCCGCGCCCCGCGCCTCCCTCCCTGCCTCCCGCGCTCCCTCCTCGCGCCGGTTGTCGGAACCTCGGGCTGGGTGCCGATGGAACCGCCGCGATGTTCGCTCCCCGGCTCCTGGATTTCCAGAAGACGAAGTACGCGAGGTGAGGTTGGGGGCGCGTGGGGAGAAGGGGACGGGAGGGGGCGAGCCGGGAAGGGGACGCGCGCTGGAGGGGGGACGCGCGGGGAGCGGACCGCACGGGGAGGGGCGCGTGGGGAAGGGGACGCGCGCGCGCGGTGGTGGGGGGGTCGCCGGAAGGGGATGCGCGGGGAGGGGCGGCCGAGGCTCTCTCCCGGCCCCGCGCCGCCGGCCTCACTCCCCCCGCCGCGCGGAGAATTCGAGTTGACAAATGGACCCTAGCCTCGGCCGGAAGAAACCAGAAAGGAGACTTGGCGGTCTTTGTGAGAGTCTCGGCGCCCAGCTTTGCGCCCCGGAGCGGGAGGAGCGCGGGTTCCCAGCGCCTGCTCTCCTAGCGGCGAGCCCTGAGGCGAGTCGCTTCACCTCCCGGAACCTCAGTTTCCAGGTCTGCAAAACGGGGATAATGTACGTCCCCGTCCCTGGGGACCCCGTGAGGCACTTTGCGTGGCTCCCGGAGCAGAGTAATCGCTCAGTTTTTATCCGGCGTTTTTGTTAATGAGAAAAGGTGTTAGCACGCCCCAGCGGTGTTCCCCCAGTACCCCCTACACTGCCCTTGCCTTCCCCTCACTGTTCCTCTCACGGCGCCTCCACTCCTTTTCCCCCCAGCCTTCACCGCCCCCATGGCAACTGGAGGAATGAGTTTAAAGCTCTTTTTAGGTGGGGAAACTGAGGCTTAGAACCCAGGGAGAGCTGCTTGTCCATCTCGGCTTTTTCACAGTCCTGAGGCTCAGTTTCTCCTAAAATGGTGATGGCAGAAACGCCCCCCCCCTCCCCGCCCCGCCGGACTGCGGAGTGGAAGCCAAGCTCCCCCTTGCACTGATTACAAGTTAAATGGGGAGGTTCATAACCATTAAGTTTCTCTGAGATTTTTTGGGGTCTGCTTGCCTGAAAGCTGGCAGGAAAACCCTTCCTGGAAGTAGCCCTCAGCCCCTAGAGGTCTGGAGGGGGGACAAGCTGTTCCAGGAGTGTGGGCGTTTGCCTGTGCTTGGGCACCCATGGGGGCACCCAGCCTGCTCTGCTGACTTTTTGCCATCCCCCTTGGGTCTGCTGCTTCTGGGTGGGGTGGGCAGGGGGTGAATTTGAGACAGAGTGGCATCATTTTTTTTTTTTTTTAAAGATCCCATTTATTTATTTGACAGAGAAAGACCACAAGTAGGCAGAGAGGCAGCCAGAGAGAGAGAGAGAGAAACAGGCTCCTTGCTGGGCAAAGAGCCTGATACTGGGCTCGATCCCAGGACCTTGAGATCATGACCTGAGCTGAAGGCAGAGGCTTTAACCCACTGAGCCACCCAGGCACCCCCAGAGTAGCATCATTTTTGATAGCTACATCTATGTGGCTCATTGTCTCCTGACAATTGCTGAGGGTCCCTGTCCCCAGGAGGTCTCCACAAGTTCTGGTCAGATGGCAGAGCTTGATCAGAGATGTCCAGGCTGAGCATGGCATGGGTAGGGGGGAGGCTGTGCATGTCTTCTTCGTAAGGTTGGGGAGTCCCACTGGAAGGGGGCACATGGGGAAGTTCTTGTGGTTTTTCATTTGGCTGGAAGGTGGGAGGGACTGGCTGCCCAAATCCATGGAATCCTCTCTGATATGGGCACTTAGATTTTCAAAGGCTTGTTCTCAACGGTCCTGTATGCTATTGTGAGGTATAAGTTGGTAGAGGGTTTGCTAGAAGGAAAGGGAAGATTCCGGGACTTGAGGCCGCAGGTGCAAACAGGCACAGAATGAGCTCTGAAGCCTGTACCATGGGCCTTCGCCGGTCCTGCATCTGCTGTGTGGTCTCGGGTCAGTGTCTCAACCTCTCTGGATCTCCGCTGGTTGATTTGTAAGGACAGGAGGGTTGTTCTGAATGAGCTGTAGATTTGGACTCTGGTGCTGCCCTCCCTGGCTGGGTTAGAGCTCTCCAGCTGGGCCAGGGGCTGGACCAGGAGCTTTTTCCGTTCTATGGGTGACAAGTCCAGGGAGGAAGTAGAGGACATTGATTAGAACTATTTCTGTTCCCTTCCTCATGGCATGGCCCTTACCCTGGTGCAGCCCACAAGTTAGGTCCTTAATAAAGGCTTCCTGATTAAGTGACTTTAATAGTGTGAGCTAGCGTCATCCAGCAGAAATGTCACACCAGCCACATGCATAAGTGTACGTTTTTTAGTAGCTATTCAATTTCATGTGTGACTGATTTTCTATCTCATTGTCATAAAAAGGCAAAACACAGTGAAATTAATTTAAAGAATGTATTATAGTTGATCCTTAATATGCAAAATGTTGCATTTCAACATGTAATCAATATGAATGGATCATTCATGAGGTACTTAACATTCTCTTTTCATTACATTCTCTCAGCAAGTCTTTGAGATCTATTTGTGTATTTTAAACTCATGACCCGTCTCGGTTTGGACTAGCTATTTTTCAAGTGCTCAAGAGCCCCACGTGCCCAGCGGCTGCCGTATTCAATAGCACAGGAATATCTTCCAGGACGAGACATGTGCGTTTGTCTCATTCAGTTCGGGCTGCTGTAAGGAAGCACCGTAGACTGATGGCTTATAAACAGTAGAAAATGATTTCTAATAGTTCTGGAGGCTGGAGGTCTGAGATCAGGGTGCCAGCATGATTGGGTCCCAGTGAGGGCCATCTCTTGGGTTGCAGACTACAGACTTCTCATTGTATCTTCATGTGGCAGAAAGAGAAGGAGCCTGCTCTCTGGCCTCTTAGAAGGCCACTAATCTCATTCATGAGGGCCCCACCCCCTTGAACTAATTATGCCCTACACGTCCCACCTCCAGATGCCATCACACTGGAAATTAGATTTCAGCATAATAATTTTTTATGGGGGGGGCGCCTGGGTGGCTCAGTGGGTTAAGCCTCTGCCTTCGGCTCAGTTCATGATCTCAGGGTCCTGGGATCGAGCCCCACATCAGGCTCTCTGCTCGGCGGGGAGCCTGCTTCCCCCTTCTCTGCCTCTCTGCTACTTGTGATCTCACTCTCTCTGTGAAATAAATAAATAAATAAAATCTCTAAAAAAAAAGAAAAGAATTTTTTGTGGGGAGGAGGGAGAACACAACCAGTCAGCCCTTAACCTTGTTCCTAGTTAAATGCTGTGTGATACTGTAGAAGATGTTTTTCCTTGTTGAGTCTCTGTTTTGCATTGGGTGATTGGACCGGCTCATCTTTCAGGTTCTAAGCGGAACCCTTGAATGGTCTGCCTAGATCAAGAAATACATTTATCATGAAGCTATAGAAATTAAAGACTGTAGTGTTGGTGCAGATTGGCCAGTGGAACAGAATAAAGAGGCCAGAAACAGATTCATGCCTATAAAGACATTGATTTTTGAGAAAGGTAGTATTGCTGATCAGACGAGGCAAGCCTCGTCCATTGAATAAACGGTACTGAGACAATTCGTTATCCAGACAGAAACAGTGAAACTGGAGCCCTACCGCATTTCTGGATGGATTAAAAATCTTAGAAGTGAAATTAAAAAAAAATGAAAACTTTTAGAAAATAGGAAAGACTATCTTTTGGATTTCAGGTTAGGTAAAGATTTCTGAAGGCACAAAAAGTTAAGACCATTACAGGGTAGATGGGTAAACCAGACCGCGTTAAGAATTACGGATTTCTATTCACTGAAAAATGCCATGAAGAAAGTAGAAGACGAGGAGTGCCTGGTTGGCTCAGTGGGTTAAAGCCTCTGCCTTCGGCTCAGGTCATGATCTCAGGGTCCTGGGATTGAGCCCCGCATCAGGCTCTCTGCTCAGCAGGGAGCATGTTTCCCCCTCTTCCTCTGCCTGCCTCTCTGCCTACTTGTGACCTCTCTCTCTCTCTCTCTCTCTGTTAAAATAAATAAATAAAGTCTTTAAAAAAAAAGAAAAGGAAAGTAGAAGACGAACTGCAAACTTGAAGGATATATTTGCAGCACATTTACCCACCAAGATAATTAACGTCCAGAACATGTAAACAACTACAATGAAAAAAAAAAAACAAGAGGACAGAAAGTGTAAAAAGACCGATTGTTTTGCAGACGAACACAAAGAGAGAGAAGAGAGCACGAATGGGCAGTGAGCATATAAAAATTGCTCGTTTTCATTGGGGGTCTTCCCTGGAGAAACCTGTGCACATGTGCGTCACTGGAAACGGACAAGAATTTTCTCAGCAGCGTCGTTCGTGATAAGCAAGACCTGGAGACATCCCAAACGTCATTGGTAGCATGGCGGATATCCATAAAGACCCTGCAAGGAGAGTGACTTTCCCGTTCAGGCAGCCTTGTAGATAGATCTCATAGACGTGTTGAATGACAGCAAAACACAAAGGAAGGTATGAATCCCATCATTCAATGCTTAAAAACAGGCAAACCAACTGTTGTTTAGGAATGCAGAGGAAGGAAGGTCCATGGAAAGCCAGAACACGATTATTGCAAAATCAGCTCAGTGGCTACCTCTAAGGGAGGGGGGAATACACAGGGTGCTTCTGGGTCCTGGCAGTGTTCTAATTCTTGACTTGGGAAGAAAACCAAGCTGGATTCTCCGTGTCCTACAAGACAGTTCCCATTTCCAGGGGGAGACTTACGCATGTGGCCACGCCTTCCTGCAAGGGAGGCTGGGAAGTGTCGTCCCCACTGTCTTTGTCCATTGTTGCCTCCCTGGGGCCCAGAATAGCACCTGTCATCTGAGTGGGTACCAGTTAGATCTGGTGAATGACTAGTGGCTGTGCACCTTTGGGCATGGAAATTAACTTCTGGGCATTAGCCAACTCCTGTGGGTCTCAGTTCGCTGTGATGCTCATTGACTCCCCAGTTTATAAGGACCAGGTCTTGGGGTGCCCCCAGGACTGGCCCCCATCGCGCTGTTCTTGCCACGGGTTTGAAGTTGCCACTAAGGCCACATGAAGGTCAGGGCCTAGCTCTTCCCACAGCGGTGTCCTTGGGGAGTGGGAGTGGAAGGAGCTTGGAGCTTGGAGCTTGTGTTCTGATTCTGCT